AGCAACAATAAAAGTGACCAAATCCACTAACGCTTTCCTTAAAACTATATCTTGAAGCAATGAGAGGTGCGACTGTAATTGTACTGTCATTTTCTTGCGTAGTAATCAATGTATAAAACAATAAGAACCATATTTTACTCATTCAGCACGTGTTAACTGTCAATTCTTCAATGAAAATCAGGTCAACAGATAAAATTAGTTTATTTAACATTTTCACGATAAATTTCAACAACGTAAAGTGACGCAGTTCAATCTCTATTTTTAACGGTCTCAACAAATGCCACCATAGCATATGCTATCTCAGAAAAAAGATGAAGTTGAAGTACAAGGCAATTTGACATGAAATACACACTACTCCAAATCAGTATTTCAACTCGTGAGATGATGGATAAACAATCTAAGTGCTAATTCAAGTGAGTCATACTATGACGTTCTTCGTATAAATTTATAGTTTCCATCGGTCATCGACAGTCAGTGGACATATCGAAACGCATTTATGTACATAGAACTCCGCCATCCTATCCAGCAATAGTAAATAATCTTGGGAAGTCAAATGACCTCAATAGTGTATCATGGCTACTACACAGACAAAATATGTGGCACAAAATTACTGGTCATGCAACAAAACCACCTACTGTATATATTTGTCAAGCATTAAAGAGTTGTAGGGCCAGTGAAATTTCACTGAGCCCTAGCCAAATCAGCCAGCAGGCGGGTCACTGAATACTAAATAGTTTACCTTTTCTTGACAAGATCAAGGACAACCAACGCGCATTAGTCAATAGAACTCCGTGGATTGAACCTTACGACAGTGGTCACACTTATTTCCTAGTACCTAATCCTACTTATATACTTTGGTAATACCGTCGCTTGTCCTGTGCAGGTATCGAATTAGCCATAGTACCTGAATATGACAGATGGGTAATCCAAGTTAGGTACTAACCGTGGGGTGCAACTTCAACGCTAGCTGGTTGGTCAGATCATTACCACCTAACTCGAGTAGGAGCCCAATCGTCGACACAGGTCACATACGTTGATGATACAAAGAAACAGCAAGAATATGTCCAATAAATCGAATCCAGAATTTTAACCGACTGGACATCAGATGTTCTAAGAAATCACTAACTCGATCAAAGATATCATTGCCAACTGTTCAATATCATACAGCTCCAAAGTAAGAAATTGAAGAAAATTGTAATCCGAACCAACCAAGTGATAGTCAAAGACTGAAGTATATCATAATATGGCTACGAAAATCCGAGATAAAAAGGAACGCATGCTAAAAGAACAGAAACAAGTTAAAAAAGCATACAAATTTTGTCAAACAAGACGCTTCATAGCTTTTAAGGGCACTCAATCTTCTGCAACTGGTTTTACCTAAGATGGATATCAAGCTCAAGGTGACCTGAAATATAAAATTTTACCGAAGACCTAACTTAAGACGACGTACACGATGTTGCACAGGTAATGGAAAGATACAACATTTTGTCGTGATAACAGAAATTGTTGAATCCGCTTGTTGCTACAAGTCCACTGTGAACAGTTGTGAATACTTTAATTTGAGTTTCAAACCACGTAATTGCAGAACTATATCATAACAAACATTGAGGTATTTAAATTATAATAATAATATATTTCTGCAAGGGCAGGTACACGCCATTTTACAGGCATGATCTACAAGTTACAACATTCACTGACTTACAGTATTACTAATCTAGTTAATGACCTTCCAGTGTGAATTATGGACAACAGATATGAGTGAGATTATAGACTTACCACTGATGTGTTTTCATACGAGTTCTTAAGCATCCAGTTCTAGATAATAGTGAATCACGAGAAGATCTTTAGTTAGTGTCCTTATCTTACTGTTGATCGTAGTAATATGATGAATCGGTGATAATCAGAGACGAAGAGAAGAAAAAATTTCTAAATTTCGTGCCGTAGTACATGATAAAGTATGTGAAATACTGCAGAACTATTACGTCAAAAAGTCATAAAACATATGTTAAAACTTTGATTTTCATCTTCCTTCACATTTCGATGGATTAACTCATCATTGGGCAATACTTTTTTTAACCCAGCATTAACAAGTGGAAATAACTAAATTTATTAGCTGAAGAAAAAACCAACATACACATAACTGACCTACGCAGTAAATACAATTTTTTTGGGGACCGTAAATAGTGAAGAAAATTCATTTTAGTTTCAAAAGGACCTTGCGACAATAGATGAACGGGCTGAACCTTAACCTGTACGTGTCATGTCTTAAAATTCAGGCTCAATAGATACAAATACACACGTCCTCCATGGACTTCCTCTCACGATTGTCTCTTCAGAGCGTGTTCTCGTGCATGTTACCACTGAGAGCTTAAGCACAAGCTCAAACAACATGGGAAGGTGTAGCCAAGGCAAAGGAAACTTGCCAATCTATACGTGAACAATTTGACTCAATCACTCCGTATTTGTTCCTAACACTGTTTGAAACGTACATACAGCCACACATTGACATTTCCACTCAAAATGCTTTCCAATTCGAAGTGTTCACAGACTTTTTCAGTAAACGGCTTAAAGAGCAGACTTCATTAACACGTACTGACACATCAACTATCATCTTCCTCATGAACCAGCTGTGTCTGGTGTACCTCTTAAGATTTTCTACGTCTATAATTAATGAGTGACAAGTAACTGCTTTGTATCCGTCTTATTAACATTTCTTTTTTCCTTCTCAATCTTTCACTGACGTTTTCTTATGCACTACCAATTAATAAAATTCTTTAAAGTTAAAAAAAAGCCATCTTCACCCAGCATTCGTGTGTTCACTTAACCATCTAAATATTGCAACCAAAAAACTTCCTACCTTGTAATAAGACAGGTGATGACATCCATAAAACATTCTACCCCGAGGAAAACATACACACTTAACTACTAGATATATCAATTCAAAAATAACTATCACATTGACTAGAATTAGTGCATTCGAGTGACTAGGCAACTGCTCTTTGAGCATAACCAAATTCCAAGGACTGTACCAAACTAACAAGAGGCGAACTCAAAGAAATTAATTGGGATACACTATAAAATAAGACAGGCTCCAGTACCAGTTAAAGCTTATGGATAAATTTATTTCCAATTCGAAAAGCTTACTCCATTAGGCAGCCTCTCTTCGTCAAGCCCACTGCCGACATCGAGTATGACAGTCATATGCTGGAAGGACTATCCCGCTCCACGCGTCTCCGTTTTACTCATATCCTGATTCTAGGGGACTTCAATCTCCCTAGAATCAACTTCACAGAACATAAGTATACTGGAGGTGAAAACTCAATTGAAGCTCGGTTATTCAGCTTCATTGAGGATTCGAGATTATTCGAAAATGTGAAGTCGGCTACTCGTTGGAGGAACAGACACTTCTCCTGGCCCAGATATGGTCCATTCTGCTATACTGAGAGAAGCAGCTTCAATCCTGGCAACACCGCTTAGCGTGATGTTCTCACACTCGCTAAGTCGAGGCAAACCACCGGAAAACTGAAAGCTGGCTCATATCACACCAATCTTCAAAGGAGGTCGACGCCACGAAACTTCAAGTTACCGACCGGTGGATCTTCTCTCTATACCTTAAAAAATCATGGAGTCCCTGATATTCGATGGTATACACGACTATCTGCTGTCCTTAAATTTCTTCTCACTCCAACAGCATGGTTTCGGGAAGGGTTACTCCTGTATGACGAACCTGCTGACCAGGTGGACAGATGGACAAGCATCCTTGATCGCAAGGGTAAGGTGGATATCACTTACCTTGATTTCTCTAAAGCTTTTGATAGGGTTAATCACATATCCCTTATCAATAAGCTCAGACAATTGGGTATCAAACCACCTTTAATTGACTGGCTCAGTTCATATCTGACAAATCGACATTTTAAGGTCAGGGTAAACTTCAATTTATCACAGGCTATGGAATGTCCTAGTAGGGTACCCCAGGGCTCAGTACTAGAACCTCTTCTCTTCCTGATTTATATAAATGATCTTCATCAACAGGCAACGTCAGACTTATTGCTATTTGCCGATGATGTGAAACTTTGGACAGAGATACGCAACCAAGAGGATATACAGGCACTTCAGGAGGATCTGACTCGACTCCAAAGTTGGGCAGACGAGAACGGACTTACCGTTAACACTTCAGAGTGTAATGTAGTCCATCTGCGACACGTCGCAGACTACAGTCACAACTTAGGAAACTCCTCTCTAGTAGTATCCCGAGTCGAAAAACATTTAGGAGTCCTGGTGCCCTACGACTTAAAGTCTTACGCCAACTGTGACAGAAATGCCATTCGGGCGAACCTTGTACTGGTAATATTGAAGCGCATTTTCGGTCTGTTTGACGAGAGAACCTTCCACATAATCTTCAACAATTTCATTCGTTCCCACTTAGAGTACGGAAACATAGTGTTTCCTCCTACCCTCCAAAAGGATAAGGACACTCTGGAGCGTATCCAACGGCGAGCCACGAAATCAGTTCGGGGACTCAAATTTAAACCTTACAAAGAGCGCCTTCAATCACTCGACCTTTACCCGTTAGAGTATAGGCGTCTTAGAGGCGACCTTCTAATGGCTTACAGTATCCCTGAAACTTCTGGACATCCTCTTAAACACCTACTTAAGCTTAGTTCCAACACTAACCTAAGAGGTAACACCCAGAAATTGGAGATACAACATAGTAGAACGGACTGCAGACACAACTTCTACTCCTTAAGAGTTGTCAAACGCTGGACTTCGCTGCTAGCTGAGCTAGTCCAAGCAACTTCCCAGGAGTCCTTTAAGAGGCGACTTGATCTATTCTTAAGGACTAAGAGTAGTATCTTACTATGACTTACCGATTTCTCTTTTCTCTTTTATCGTTGATATGCCTAGGTTCTTGCCTGGAGGTATTGGTGATCCCCTGCTACTGGACACGGAAGCCTGTTAAGCGAAAGCTTCTTCTATTCCGTCCTGAACCATTTGAACTGATGACAAATATATTGGATATTGGACAACAGTACTTCCGCGGACTCACCATATTCTTACGCTTTGTCTTCATAGTGGTGAAAGCTTTGAATCAGATGCCGTCTCCCGGTGGTCGGTTAGTAGAAGTGGCAATTTCATTGACTTGTTGCTAAACAGATATGCCTGGTTTCAGTCGGATGGTAATATTTGCATAAATTACTTCCGAAAAAATATGGCATTAACTGATGTTCGAGTAGAGATAGAAAGACGGAAGGTGAGAACGCAAAATATTAAATTAAGTTCATAAAGACAGGTTTCTTTGTATTTGACTATTCCAACCGGTGATGAGTTGCTCAAAAAATTCCAGTTGCTTCATGAAGTTGTGCCAGAGGAGTCATCATATCGTGTCACCGCCACGAAAATCGAAATCAAGTTAAAGAAAGCAGACAAAGTTTGCTGGAGTCATCTGGAATCTCAAGATTGTATTACTGGTCCAGGAATTCGTAAGTTGAAGTTAGTTAGGGTGCAGTTATAGATTTGTCAAACTATTTTTATGACCTAATTAATCTATTGTAACTATAAACTCGAGTGCTGTTCGAATACAGAAACATTCAACTTAACCCACTGAGTTTTTCGATTACTGGATTAAAGTTATTTGTCTCTTGATAATTCTTGAATGTGGTTCTGATGAGTTCTCGTTTTCAGTCTCATATTTATTCCTTTGAAAAGTGAACTACTTACTCATTGGGTGAACACATTTCCAGGAGTTTGGTTATTCAAAAAATACAGTACACTTCTTCACAGTTATACATTGGAATGCTGGTGATGTGTATAGGACAAGCTTCTAATGATATGGAAGTTAAAAGAGCAACTACACAGTAACAACTGAAGTATTATTAGTTATTACACATATATCGTTAGTATGTGGTCCGCACTGGTTGTGTGTAGTCAGATTCGTCTATTTACGAGTGCAAACTTTACATGGCAATTTAGCGGTTTATTGGCCTGATTTTTATTTGAAGAGATGTCTGAATGTGCCATGAATATAAATCTTCCATTTAACTCCGTGTATTACACCAAGGCTAACCTCGTTTGTGTAACAGTGGCAATAAGCCAAAACGGCTTAAGTGGGATGAATTTATTTCAGGCACTCGTTTGTTCAGAAAGAAATTAAGGATAAGAAGCGTAGAATACAAGTGTTCCAACCCAACTTGATTAACCGTGACTCCATATTTATGGCGGACAAATAAGCTAGATATGTGATAAGTAGGGTAAGCGATACACACATACGCTGATATAAAGACAGTCAAGATTAATAGGCGAATTGTTGTCAAGGTCAAAATGTGACTCTGTAAGCTAGAATTACCCATACGTGTTGTTCAGTTATCAAACAAGAAGTTCTGCAGTGTTTCTACCGGTGTCCTCTCCCTTTTTGACTTCATTAGAGCTCTCTTGAATGTGTCCACAAATCTTTCTACTTGGAGAGCAGAAATGCTTGATCGATAGGCGTTTGCAAAATTCTTGAAATTGACTTGAGGTGAACTGCGAACCGTTGTCGGATGCGATTATATCCGGTAATCCGTTGCGGGAGAACATCTCTGTCAAAAGTTTCATCGTTTGGGTTGTCGTTGGTGGCACGACGGGAACGATTTCTGGCTATATCGAAAAGGCATCAACAACGACTAGATAGGTGATTCCATTAATTGGGCCTGCGAAATCGACATGTATCCTGGACCAGGGATACTCAGGCTTTAGCCATCGGATCGGCAGTACTTTCGCGTTACACTTGGCCGCTTGCTGACACTGTGTGCACTTGCCTACTAAATCCACGATATGTTGGTCCATGAGGGGTCAATAAGCATAGCTTCTGGCGATGGATATCATTCGTTTTATACCTGGATGACCAATGTGGAATTGCTTTAGCACCTTTGGTCTTAGGTACTCTGCCACCACTACTCTATCTCCAAACACGGTAAATAATATTCCCTCATATGAACCTGACTAACAGCCATTACTGATCGTTTCAAGCCTTGAATGATTATGTTTCGTATCATTGGTGTGGCGTACAGAAAGATGACGTGGAATCTACTTGTCTTTTTGTAAGTAATCGTGTATGTTAGGCAAGGTGCAGTTAGTTATAAAATGTAGATACTTCTTATTAATATTAATTAATCAGTACTACTCTACGTCTACCAGGATAGTTTTTCACCTCAAGTAAAAGTGTCCCACTTGATATAGCCGAGTTTGTACAACGTTTAAAACAGCATGAGTAATCTAAGAGTAACGCTTCCGAAGCAACACCAACACTGGGTATACATACCAAAACAACTGAGCGACAGTGCTCATGTGTTTATCAGAAGAGATAGTGCGCAACGTCCCTTTCAACCGGCCTACGATGGTCCATTTAAAGGAATTAGAAGAAATGACAAAACTATTACGGTAGACAAAGCTGGAAAAACGGATGTAATTAGCATCGACCGAGTCAAACCAGTTTTCATCAAAACTGACGATCAGCCAGTACATACAGATACTCCGAGAACTGTCGAATCACCGAAACGTCAGTTCCAATCATCAACGACATCGACGAAGATAATCCATTAACGACAAGATATTGTCGAAGAGTGAGATGGCCACAACGTTACATAGCTACGATTTTGAATCAATAATTTCTTTCACCTCTTCAGATGCAAATTTCTTTCATCTTCGTTTTGAATGTACACATCAAAATTTTTAACTTATCTATTATTATATTCGACATATTTTATATATTCTGACGTCAGTGTGTATGAACTTCTAAAAGCACTACTATATACTTTCGATCTTCCGTTATTACCTTATTTGGCCTCATGGGTATATACGAACTCGAACTTACACGATAGTTCTACCATACATCTTAATTTCGTAAATTTCAATATTTACCGTCTTGTTAAATTTAACAGTTTTTTTTTTGCAAACACAGATACTGTTTTGTTTGCTAGGGGGAGCTATTATAGCAGCTCACGTGAAATTGAGTTTGTTCACATTTAATTTGGTTAAGCCCATTTTATTAACTTATTTAACGGACAGAGTCATTCGTACAATAACAACTTATCCACATCATTGTGCCTTTATTATTGTTACACCTGTACGAATATGTATGCCTGAACATTACTTACTACCTACGCATATATTCGCTCTACTAGCCTTACTATTAGTTGCTTAATTGATTCGATGATTCATTTATTTCACTATGTATATATATGTACATTTTATTCATGTTCATTGCACTCGCTTACTCGTACTCGTATTTGCTGACTCGCTCGCTCACTTGCTTGCTAGCTTTTCAACACTACTTTTTCATGCTTGCTTAACGTGCCTGTAAATTGGATATCTGTGTGTGGTCTCATAATAAACGTAATCAGCACTTCGTATTCGCTTTCTGATTAATACACCGTTGGGGCGTTATCTAGTGATGGTTATCAAAACGAACTGTTATACTAAGTTTAAGGATCATATAGAATACCGACCACCGAAGATGAATAATACAAAAGTGCATAAAATCTTACTAAAAGTGTCATTAAACTACAAGACCGTTGCTACCACCATGACGTGGTTGTTGGGCTTGCCTATCGTGGTGAAGCAATCTAGCTAACCTGGCTGCAAGAATCGTACGATTGTGGGCCTTGTGTTTGAATGCAAAAGTGACGGGACACGTAAGTGCTCATTCATGATCTCAAAGTATAATCATTAAACCACTGCAACTGTAATATTTATCCTTCTTCGTTGAAAGTCATTTTTACATTAGATTTTTTTTTTAAGAAACCAGTTGATCCTAATTATTTCTATTATTTGTACTCAGTTAATTCAACCAACTGCTTACCACTCGTCAATCAATGTTTCAACAAATTTCACCCGATATAAACCTCGCCAAATAAATTAATATTGAAAAAAGGTAGTTTAATAGCTTGCAAAATTCAAGATACGATGGAAATAAAGACATTTCAAGATCTAATGTAACCCATTCGAATTTATGCACATAACCTGACGTTATATTAAATAGATTCTTATTGTAGTTAAAAAGATACTAACACGTACATTGAACTAGTATACACCATAGTTTACATCAGAACTTTGTAAGACAACAATTGAGAACCTGGAATCACTCAATAGGTATTTCATCCCACACTAGGGCTAAAAAATCTAAAAATCTCAACAAATCAGCAGCAATAATAAATGTAGATTTATTGAAATTTTACATCAAGTTCTAATTTAAAATTTTTCATCAATAAGTTTTTTTATATTACTAACAAGGAATCATTTTGTCAAATTAAAGGATACAGAGAACTCAGTTAAGTCGCTTAACTAAGCTTTTCAACTCGGAATCAGGTCATTTATGTATCTTAAATGATTGTGTGCCTAGCGCATACAAGGTAACAAGATCATGGGGAGTGATCATCCTGAATCTATAATTTGTCGTTATTTTAGAGAGACGTGGAAAGCTTAAAACACAGCAGGATTTATTTATGATTTACAATTTTCGAGTGCGCAAGTACACCGATAATAGAATATAGTATGAGTTTATTGGCCATAAATTAGAAAAGCAAGATAAAATTCATCGAAATTAAACGTCAAGTTAGTGACTGAACGGCTTAGAATAAACAACAGTTCATTTTGTGTAAAATATTTAGGATGAAAGAAAATTACATTCGACAAACTTTTATAAGCATTTATTTACCTGATATGCATAGTCACAAAACACAAAGTGCATGTCATCATTGGAGGCAGTAAGTTGTACTTCCTGAAGATATGAACATATTGTTCGTTAAACAAATGAAAAATCCGTAATTCAGCTGTACCTTACAAATTAACTGATCTGCATATATTCATTTTCTGCAACAAATGATTTCAATTGGTCATAATAAAGACGATCCTATGAGCGAAAATAAACTTTTGATACATAATCATAATAAGTGGCTGTATCCTCCTTAAATGTAAGATTTCTTCTGAGCGTACCTTTTCGTCTCCCCCCACTATTGTTCTTTTTTTTTATCTTATAATCCCCTACGTTCCTTACTTTTTTTTCCCTTCTTAAATTCTCATTGTTTTGTGTGGTGCATATATATTTGGTGCCCCCTGTACCAATATTTATGCGTTTAAATAAATAATAATAAATAAATTTGTATAATCTCTTTTTTCCGAACAATAAGTGGTTCTTGACTGGACTTTCTAATGTTCCGACTGGCGGTTTTGAAATAGGATGATTTTAAGTGAGTACTTGGTTGTTAGCACATTCAGTATGTATGTTAGTGGAATTATTGTGCTTAGAGTAGGCAGAGAACACAATCAAAACAGTTTTTCCAGATATGTAGATAAAAAGCGAACCGAACTCCACTCTCAAAGCTTCGTTAATTTAAAACGCATTATACTGATGATCTACGTCGCCAACTTTGTAACCGACATTGGACTTCTTTCTTCCCGTCGGAAGTATTATTTTCAGGTTATCTATCTTGGTAACGACTATGTTGTCTACAAGACTTCAATTTGATCACTGTGATT